ACGTCCTGAGTTGCTATAAAAAAATCTATAAGGCCTTTGACCCAAAAACAGTTGAGCGCCATACCTTAAAGTCAGTTTTTTGAATTTGAAGGGTATTGGCGCCAGTCGAAGACCGATGTTGCACTCTTCATTTTGCTGCTAATCTCTCCTCTAAACAGTATCGGTGCTCATCCTCTGGGGATGCACAAGTGGAGTACCCTGAAGATGATCAATATCCTTTACAGAAACGTCGGCAGTACACTAAAGACTTTAGCATCGGTCTGCCGATTGCGTCTACGGAAGAACAACAAGAACCGTAGGTCGTGCCCAAAAATCGAGACTGAAGAGGAAACCTGTGCGACAGAGGAGAGGTGGTTTCAGTAGAGAGTGGGTGAGATTATTCACTTGGGGAAAGTGTAGAGGACAAGTATATCTGCACGCACTGAAAACTGCCAATCCAGCGACGCGACTCAACATGCGTAACTCGTTTTAGAGGAAACTTGTTCACCCAACCAAACGGAGAGGCAAACCAAATCAATCTCCACCTACCCCATAGGGTGCCACAAACCCGTGACATAAAGCGAAGTAGGGTCAGCCTTGAGAACGCCAGAAAATGGCTAACAAGGAAACTTGCGCGACCGTTTCGTGGCTAAGCGAAACCGAGAACAATTTGCAACACCACAGAAGTAACAGACTCATCAAAAAGCTATCCACTATGTCGAATACAAAAACATTCACGAAAATCATCATCATACGGCAAACTTTTACAGTTTTTAGTAATCAGTTATTTGACATCTCGAGAAAAAAAATTATGAAAAATAAATCACAAAAAAAACAGACATACAGGTGTGTGTCCTGATCCTAATTTAGCAGCACAGAAGAAAAGAAGCAAACGCACCGCTTAATGCAGATGCGCCGCTTGATCGAATGAGGATCGGTCCTCATCAGAGAATATCAGTTGGGATATGAAAAAAACGTATCCGATTCCAAACATCGATAATAAGGCAATGTACGAACTTGAGAAGTTATTTG